ACCTTCCCTGACTTGATCAACCCTCCTGCCTGAGCCTCTTCCAGTGCTCTCTCTTCTCTGAAGCACAGGTCAGAGTTGTGATTTTTCCATTTGTTTGTGAGATGATATGATTAAAAACTGTCGGCTCCATGAAAGTGCGGATTATGTTTGCTTTTGCTCACCATGTCTTTCCACTGTTTAGCTGGGTGCCTGGCACATCGGTGGAGAAGGAAATGGCAACCCACTCCAGTATTCTTGCCTGGGAAATCCCATGGACAGAGGAGGTTGGCGGGCTACAGTCCATGGGGTCGTAAAGAGTTGGACATGACTGAGCGACTAAATAACAACAACAGCTGGCACATAGTATGTGTTCTGTTAAAAAATTGCTGACTGTTGTCCAGGGAGAGATAGCCAGCAGACACCGACGCGGTTAAGAGGGAGTCTGGTTCTGGAGATCTGGGTGGAGGAGATCTGATTCCCGGACAGGTAAGGGCTGAAGCAGTGAGGATAGGCGGTGTGACCTGGGAAGGAGGGATGGTGTGAGAAGAGGGTGGGGACTTGTCTCCAGAACCCCAGAGGCCATGCCAGGGATCTTCTGCCTACCCCATGGCCTCTAATGCTGGAGCCAGGCCTGGACAGGGATGCCTGGGGAGGCTCCTGGGCCCAACCACTCCTCCTTGGGGCCACTGGGGCTGAGCTAAGTGGAAACAAATGTTTCCTGGCTTCCCACCAGCCCAGTCCTAATGGGCGAGCAGCAATCCCTCCCTCTCAGCCTCTGCTCCCCCCTCCGCCATCCCACCCTCCCACCCCACCGAGTTCTTTCTCCCTTTGACTGATGGAGTGATGGGAAGGCTGGAGCATGGATAGGGTTGAGAGATATGGAAGATACAAGGCAGGTGGGTTCCATGGGGAACCAGGGCCTGGGGTGGGGGTTCCGTTGGACAAAGGCCCAGAGGCAATCTCAGGGGAAACTTGACCTAGACTGCCTAAAGCTGGGAACCAGGCATTTGAGTTCCCACTCTGGGCTGGAAAGGCACATTCTCATGATTTCAGGTGGGCTGGGAAAAGTTAGACTAGCATCTGGGATTCAGAAAGGAGAGGACAGCGGTTCTTCCTTTCTTCTATCTGTTTCCTTCTTGCCATCTCTCTAGAGGGCTGGCCTTTCCTCTCTCTCTTCTCCTGGGACCCAGAGACCCAGGGCCCTGAGGAATTCTCAAGTCCCATCACCACCCTAAAGGAATGAGAGTTAGGTCTCATTGCTGGGGAAAGAGGGAGGGAGGATGGTGGGAAGGGAGAAGAGAGAGAGGGAGAGAGAGGTGATTGGGAGGGGAAGGGTCACAGGCCCAAATTCCTGGGCTCCTGCAGCTTCAGTCATTCTGAGAAACAAAGAAACAGAGAAAATGATTTAGAGAGAGACACAAACAGAGACCGAATTATGGAGATGGGGAAGACATGAAAAGACACACAGAAAGACAGTGAGAGAGAGAGAGAATCCGACAGAGGGCTCCGCTTTCCCCTGCAGCGAATCTGATGTTATCTATCCCCAGCTGCCTCTCTCCCCCTCCACAGTCCCCACTTCTGCCCCTCCTTCCTCTCCAACCCCATAGCCAGACAACCCTGTTTCTCCTTCCCCTCCTCTCTTTTGGACGGGCCTAGACCTAAGGTGGAGGGATGGGGGAAGAGGTGGAGGGAGCCTGGAGGACAGAGAGAAAGAGATCAGTGTGGCACCCCATCCATGCTACAGAGGTGGTGTGTGTGTGCACGTGTGTGTGCGTGATCTCCAGGAAAGCCAGCATGTGTCTCAGTCTGAGCCAGCCCACCTGTGTGGCCTGTCCTACCTGTGGATGAAAGTTATCCAGCATCATCTAGGAGAGGCGAGGTGTCCTGTGATTTCTGAGGGGCTATCTGGAAACCTATGCCCAACTGTGGTTGTGTGTGAGTGCGTATGCATGTGCATGCACCTCAATCTGTCTTTGTGTTCCTCTGTTTCCATCTCCTAGTTTACCAGCCCTCTCTGTGGAGCGTCTTCCAAGGTGATAGTGATGGCTTGAAGCCTCAGGAACATCTGAACTCATCTCTGTTAAGGTCTGAGGGCTTCAGGAGTGAAGTCATGGCTCTCGCTCTGCCCAGATGCCAACCAACTCCTAGATGGGGGTGCAGAGAAGGCAGAAAGCAGTGGGCAGAGGCAAGGTTGCCCGTGGAACAGAGGCCTTGAGAATTGAGGTTTCAGGAGACCTGCCCATCACAGACTGCAGCCCACCCCTCCCTGCCCCAGTGCTTCCACAGGCACTAGTGGGCCAGCTGTTTCTGGAATGGGATTCTGGGGTGCTTGAGTTGGGGGAAGGATGAGGACTTGGGAAATCCAGGGTGGCCAAATATTCTACAAGGTCTGGCCAGAGAGAGTACTGCAGGAGGGGTGGGGCGTTCTGTGTGTGTTTGTAGGAAAGGTGGGGGGTGGGGGCAGAAAGGCCGCCTGCGGGGGAGAAGGCTTCTTGGCAAACGCCCCAGTTTCCTGAGCTGATCCCTGCTCCCTGCCACTGCTCCCAATTCTGTTGTTTCAATAACATCATTTTTATCCACCCCACAGAGAGACCGTGTCTTAGGAGGGGGAGGCGAGGGGCAGGGCTAGGGCATGAGGGGGTGGTAGTGGAGAGAGGCTGGGGTCTGGAGGGAGCAGGGACCAGATTTGGGGCGCTCCCTCCTCAGGCAGAAGCAGGGCGGTCCCAGAGCCCTGGTCCCCTGATGACAAAGACAAATACATTAAAATTCTTGCCTCGGAGAAGAATGCAGGATCAGGAGAGCATTTCATAATCTGCAATAACAGTAGCAGGGTGGGGGCGGGGGGGGCAGAGGGTTCGGAACCCAGGCAGTGGTTCCCAGGGGATTGGTCACTGGCCACCTGCAGCATCTAGGGACCCCCCCCCATCCACCCAGAGCCCTCCAGCCACCTGTTCAGCACCATCTGGCCTGAGTGTGGGCCCAACCTTGGCTGCATTGTTCAGTGTGCAGGGTCCGGAGTTGGCACTGCCCTACAGAAACAGCAACTGGGTCCAAAATTAAGAGGTGCATGGGCTGTGCCTGGCATCTGGTTGCTATTAAAGGCTAAAATGGGAGGGGCTGCACTTGGGCCACGCCCCCTACCTCTCCAAGCCACTAGCCCCCGTCTCTAGAGCACTCCAGCACCCTCACCAGAAGAACTCTCAGTGCCCAGGACAAGGGGTTAGACTGATTCAACCTGGACACCACAGCCCCAGGCAAATCCAGGGGCTTCCCTGTGCCCCAGGCCAACGTTTCTCCATTTCTTTTCTCTTCTCCACTTGCTCATCCTTCCTTTCCCAGATCTGCCTCCTCCCCTGGGACCCGCATCTGTGGTCTTTTCTTACACCCCCAGCCCATCTTGATCCACTTGTCACTCAGAATCGTGGCTTCTCTCTGCTCACCAGGGTGTTTCTCTCCCTTAATCACTCTTGGCAGTGGCCCTACTCCCCAAGTTCAGGTGCTCCCCACTCCCACCCCCACCACCACACACAGTCCAGAAGACCAAGAGCTTTTTCCTCTAGACGCCTGAAGTTTCTGCCACATGGGCTTGAGGTCCTCCATCATTCTCTCCAGCCAGGAGCACCCGCACAGCTTGATGGCCGCTCTGGATAGAGGTGGAAGGGAGACTGGCCCTTGCCATGGAATGTCCTGCACCACCTGTCTCTCTGCACCCCTGGGGCACACGGGGCCGGAGCCGGGAGCAGGGACTACAGCTCCCTGCCAGCCCGCTTGGCGTGATGAATGGAGCTGTCCTTCCTCCCCACGGGGGCCTTTGATCTCCCCTCGTGGGGAGGGGGCCAGGGGCATCAAAGACATTTTTGTGGCATTAGAGAATCAGATAAAACGCCATCTCACCTGCAGCTGCCCTCCCACCCGCTCCGGCCCTGGCCAAGCTGGGGGAGCAGCGATGAGGCAGGGACCCTCGGACCCACGAGGCCCGGCTGCAGTGAGTCCTGACCCTTCGCTCTGCAACCTCCACTCTGTCGCTCGCTTGCACGTGCGAGCACTTGATCGCAGGCCATAAAGGTTCCTCTCTCTTGCTGTCTAATCTGCCCTCCCGCACCTCCTCCCCTGAGCGCCGGCCTGATGAGGCGGGGGCTGGGGAGCAGAGTGGAGGCCCATCGCTTCCTCCCGTGCTCAAGAAAAGGCTGAAAAAGGGGGCTTGCGGCGCGGAGGCGGGGTCCGGTCAGAGGTGACCCCCTCCGGAGTCTGTCCATCGGGCCATCGAGTTCGACACCCCTCCCCGGAGCACCCAGCGCCGGGGGCCGACTGCGTCTCCCGGCCCCCGCTCCAGCATCCCACTCCGCACCGCCCCCCAACCCAAACTCCCTCATTCCTGGGAAGTTTTCTCTCTTTACAGTCAACAAACCTGTCAAACGTCTCCCTTCCAGCCCGTCCCCCATTCCTTCGCTCCTCTTCCTTCCCCCCCCCCCCCGCTTACACTTCTCCACCCTGCTTCCCCGCCCCTTCTTGCCCCCGACTCCAAGCTGAGGCGGGGGGCTCCCAGGCCGTGAGAGAGGCGAGGTGAGGGGGCGAGGCAGGCGAGTCCCCCAGCCACGAGCGTGCTCGGGCCCCGCCCTCCGCCGAGCTCCGCGCCCGCCGCCCCGGGGCGCTCGGCTCCCTCCCGAGAGTCCCGCCGCCTGACTGTCGCAACTGCCACCCCCACGGCCCCCCTGCCCCCCGCCCCCGCCCCAGCCCCGCTCCCCTCCCACCCCCGCCCCCGGCTCTGATTTCTTCTCCCGAGCGAGCTCGGCAGGAGACACAGGCTCTGGCTGCCCTGTCCGCTCTCCGCCTCCGCCGCGCCCTCCTCGCCCGGGATGGGCCCCCCCGCCGCCGCCGCCGCCACCGCCGCCGCCGCCGCCGCCGGAGCCATCGCCTCCCGGCCGCCGCCGCGCTCGCCCTGAAGCCCGGGCCCCGGCGCGCAGCGGCTGGCCCCTCAGCCTCGCGCCCTGCCCGCACCCGCCGGCCCTAAAGCTGTCACGATGCAGCCGCCCGCGCCCTCCCGCCTGGGTCTGCTCCTGCTGCTGCTCCTGTGTCCGGCGCACGTCGGCGGACTGTGGTGGTGAGTGCTGCGTCTGGCTGCCCCCGCGGGGCCCCTGGAGCTCGGACATGGGGACCTTGGGGCCGAAGGTGGGGCTCCGGATCGTGCTCCCGCCGCCTCCCGGCTTTACCTGTGCGCGGAGCCCAGCCCCTCGGCAGAAGGAGACTCGAGGGGGAGGTGCGTGCCGCTCCTGCCGACCTCCTCTAGGGGCATTTCTGAACTGCCACTTAGACGTGCCCACACACCCCTTGCCCCCTCCCTACATTCTATTGTATTTCCTCCCCGTGTGTCCCCCCCCCGCCCCCCACCGCAGGTTACGCGCTCAATCCAGGTCACCGAGGAATCAGCGGATGGGTAGCAAAGAGATACGGGGAGACGGGGGCAAGATCTGTAGTCTGAGATCCGTATAAAAGAGTGTGTGTTAAGACGGCTTTGGATTTAAGGGAGAGAGGCTGAATTTGGGGGAAAGAGAAGAACAAGGTGGGAAGCCACTGGCAGGGAGAGCCAAGCTGCTGCCTCTTCCCGCCCTACTTTGCCCACAAACCCACCAGCTTCTCTCTGGGCTCCTTCAGAATGGGTGGGAGGGGCGGGAAAGGGAGCATAAAAGGGGAAACTGAGTCAGAACCTTCGCTTTCTCTCCTTTCTCCTCCCCGAGCAAAGAGAAGGAAAGGCAGGAAAAGGACCCAGACTCCTGGCCTTTCCAGATGTAGAGGTCATGGATGAAAAAAATGTGCTGCTGGGAATCGTGGAGGGTCCTGGTGGAAGGGAGCAAGGCCTGGCCAGCCAGGGGATGGGGTCGAGTTCCCAGACTGCCCTAGCTAGAGCTGATACTTAAGCAGCTGATGTTGCGGGAATTGGAGTCTGGCGGGATGGATAGAAGCTGGGGAGGTGGATGCCCGGCCGGGACCGCTCAGCGATCCGGATCCCGTAGACTTTTTTCCCCTGCTCAGTCTTGGGAGCAGCAAGGACCCGCCCGGAATAGTTGTGTTTAGAGAGGAGGGACTTGGACGCTACCGCTGGTGCATTAGCCAATCCTCACAAGTCAAAACCTTGTCTATTTGCATACCGCATGTCATTGGCTGGATTCTCTACCCTCCACTCCTCTCCCACCCCGGATTTAGAAGAAGGGGTGGGGCAGGCAGTTCCCTCTTTTCTAGGAAGATAGCTGGATGCCCACACAGGGAGCTGCTGGCCACGATCCCACTTCCATGATGTGGGAGAGAAGTCCCTCAGGGTGTCAGTGAGGGGGCCAAGCCAGCGCGACCTAGGTCCCGGCTAGGGAACTTGCGTCCTCGGATCCTGACTTAGAATAATGCAGTAGCAGCTTTGAAATAAAGAGACCTGCGATCTCATCTCCCCCCATTGTCAAGCCTATGACCTTGGGCAAGTCACTTCTCCCTGCTCCCCAATGTCTCAACTGTAAGGTAGGGAGTCGGTCCTCCTACCTGGAAGGCTTGATAGGAGGGTTGGGTGGGATGACCTACAACATAATCTGACGTTGGGAGGTGCTCCTAAACATAAGTCCTCTCCTCCACACCCCAGGTTCTGGCCAGAATCCCCATGGGTGAAAGGGGGATCAATTTACATTAAAACCTAGGGTCTCTAGCAAAATTTTGCAAAGGGATCTCTCTCTCTTATTCCCCATACACACCTGTCCTAACTTTGCCCTTTCTCAAAGTATGGAAACAGAGGTCTCTCCCTGAGGGCTGTTGCCTTCCCTCCCCACCCCACTCCACCCCCTACAATTTGTCCCAATTTTATCATCCTTCCACTTAAAAATACCACTTCCTCCATGACGCTGCCCCTCTGTCTTCCCTCCCTTGCCTTCTCTATGCTCACTGCACTCCATGCATTGGACACTATGCCAGTTAGGCATTTCACTGAGTGCCCTCTCCTCTTGGGTCCCTTTTCCTGCTTCTGGGAGGCGGAGCCTTTGTCTTTAGGGCCCTGGAGACTAAAGGTGCTGGGGACAGCTGTATGGAGATCTGCTGGGGTTTGTGTTCATGGTGGCTCCTTCGTTTGGGAGGGGCTGCTGAGTGGGAGCCATGCCAGAGGAGGAGAGACCCTTGGAGACTGACCCTGAAGCTCGAAAGGAGGGAGTGGGGGAGGAGGGGAGGAGGGCAGGTGTGGAAGAACACAGAGGCCTTCATGGCCACAGCTGCAGGGCAAGCCGGGTGAAGAGTGAGGAGTTGGAGTGATAAGGTGTCTGGCGACTGGCTCACTCAGATACTTTGGAGAGGCTGTCCCCACCCCGGAGGCTTCACCTGAAGCAAGAGCTTCTTCAGGCAAGAAATGTACGGGCTGCTCCCTGATGTCTAGGACTGGTTGGCTGGATCCTTTCTTCCTGCTTCTCAGAGAACACTGACCAGGCGGGAGCTCCAGCGGTGAACAGGAAAGCGGCTGGCCTCACAGCAGCCCATTGCAGTCCTTGCTGTCATTCTAGCAGCAGCCAGGCTGGGAAGACATAGTTCTCCAGGAACTCTGAGTGACCGGACTGTCCTGGTTAGGAAAGGAGGGCCCTGGATGGGTATGGCCCAGGCCTTAGGCTCACGGACCTGGCTCTAGGTCACCCAGAAGTTTCTCCTTTCAATTTCTTCCCTCCTCCCCCTTCTTTCCCGCCCCCCGCCCCGCCTTCTCCAATGCTTTCTAAACTCTGCCTCTGACCTCTGTCTGTCTCTCTCTCATCTGTAACCATATCTTTATGAATCACAGAATCCCAGATTCCAGGACATTGGCCAGGCTCTCTTGAGGTCATCTTGTCCAGCTTACTGCCTCCAGGCTATCCAGTTTATGCTCTGGCCCTGACAGATTCTGTCCTGGTCATCAGCTCCCAGCCCTCCCATCCTGCTCTCTGCCCCCTTCTCATCCTCCCCCAGGAAGTTCTTCTCAATATCTGGCCCATCTTTATTTATACCTTCAATCAGTAAATGTAGAAAATAGCTCACTCTCACAGAATAGCCAGATCAATCTCCCTTCTTCTCCTTTCCTCTTTCCATTTGATATTTTCTATGAAAGAAACTAACCCTCCCATTGTTCCACTAGGAAAAGCACCACTTGGTCTCACTCCCTTCCCCCATCTCATCTTCCCAATGGAAACAGGAATGAGGTGCTGGTCAGCTCTGGCCCCTCAGGGAGGCAGGGAAAGGACCCAGGCCTCTTCCTGACACCTAGGCTTTCCAGCTGTGACTTCCACCACCCCTTCCCATTCTCTCTTTCTCTGGGGCCCCTGACCCTTCATGGGCAGTCCTATTTCTGGCTCCCACAAGCTTAGGATGGGGTGGATGGTGGGGGTAGGGTGGCCATCCAGGCCTCCCCTCCAAGCACCCCCACCCTCGCCTTGGCAGCTTCCCCTGGAGGGAGACAATGGGGCTGTGAGCAGAAAAGGGCAGGGGCAAAAGGAGGCTGGCTTGGTCCAGGCCAGAGCATGCCCTGAGCCCACCAGAGTCCTGGCACCGTGACATTTCCCGGGGGGTGCAGTCCCCTCCTGCCCCATTCTCATCGGAAGCCAGGAGTTGGGTGGGAGCAGGAGCTGGGGTGGGGGGGGGGGGGGGGAGTCAGCGGGAGGCTTGATCATCAGGGCCCAGCCAGGGGGATTCCAGAATGTGTACTTTGATGAAGAAATGCAGCAGTGGAGGGGATGAGGCGGGAGTGGGGGGGTTGTGGGGTGTGGGCAGCTGGGCTGCAGTTAGGCTGGTGGTAGGGCACTCAGCCAGCCAGAGCAGGAGGTGCTCAGGAACACAGAAGCCTGTCCCCGGGGAGTGGGGAGAGCGCCCTCTAGCCTGCACCCTCCTTCCCGCCAGGGGCAGGGTGGGGCGAGGCCCTGAGTGCTTCCCCTGGACTGCCCGAGGTGGCGCACAGGGAGGCAAAGGTCGCTGGGCAAGTACTTCACCCACTCTATGCCCGGTCTCTTTGGCTGTTTCCTCCAGCTTGGAGCCCTCTGCTTAATCCAGAAATTAGGTCTAGAAAGGACCTTACAGATCATCTGGCCCAATCTTCTCATTCTCAGAGAGAGAGAAGTCTAGCAAAGTTCAGGGATAGGAGGTGACTTGCCCAAGGCCACCCAGAATGCACATAGCTGAGGGCTGGGGACCAGGAGTCCACCTCGCACTGAGTACTGGGAGTGCAGAGGGGTAGGGGTCAGGAAAGGGGCTTGTGCTCCCCCTGTCCTCCCCTTCTCATGGGGCTTCCCCACCTCGGTATGGGAGAGCAGATGGCACAGGACAGACTCTCTGCAGGATATCCAGTGGATGGTCATTGTGTCCAGGCCGCTGACCAGCAGCAAGCCATCTTGTGTGGGGAAGTCATTCAGAGCAGGGAAGGCCCCTGCAAGGGGAGAAGTGTGAGGAGGTGGGAAGGGCAGCACCTGGGACTGGGCAGAAAGAACCCAGCTGGGCGGGGGGTGGGGTGGGGGGGAGCCAGGGAATGGGGTTGCTGGTGGGCGGTGGGGAGGTAGGGGTTAATGGAGCTGGGGCATTACTGACTTTGATGTGGTGGTTGGGGTGGGGGTAGGGACTGGGGGAGGGGGAACAGTAATTACTGAGTTAGACAGAGCAGGACAGGACAGGCGGGCCGGGCACAGGCCCGGGCCCAGCCTCCTCGGCAGCCCAGCCGTCAGGCAACATTTTTCTACCCCTTCTCCACCACCCACCTCCCCCATCCCTGTGCAGCCCCCACCCACAGCCCCAGGGCTCAGGGCTCCCTCTGCTGGCTCTTGGGAGCTGAGGGTCAGACTGAGTACCCAGAATGAGTGCGGGGAACTAGTGGGGATTTGGCTTTAGAGAAGCAGGCATCAGAAAAGGTCTGTGATCCTCTTGGCCTCAAGAATCCACCCAGGAGTGCTGGCTGGAGAAGGGAGGCAGTGGGTGGGGAGATCTTGGAGGGTGCTCCTGGTCCATGGGTTAGACTGGCAGGGGAGGAGGAGATACTGGGATCCAGGCTAAGAAGAGTTGGAGCAAAGCATGTTCTCAGGAATTCATACCTGCTGCCTGATTGCCATGCACTGTATAGGCCCAGGAGATGATTAAGGGTGTGAATGGGAAGTCACCCATGGGAAGACACTTTTGGAAGCCCACTCTCTGGACAGGCTCTTTTCATCGTGTAACCTGAGAAGTAGGCAGGTATTATTATTTATTTCCACTTTCCAGTGGAGGACACTGAGGTTCAGAAGGTCAAGTTTCCTCATCCATTCAACAAAGGCTAAGTGCCAGCCTCCCCGGCTAGGGGCTTGTTAACATCATGGGACCAGAAAATGGCAGAGCCCAGATCCAAACCCAAGTCCGATGGATTCTCAAGGCCCTGAGTCGTGTTCTGCTAATGACATTATACTTCTCCCTGAGATCTTTGTCTGGAATGAGTTTATATGTAATTGGGAAGATAAGACAAGAAGATGTGACAAAACAATTATGCCACTGGCCAGGATGACAAACAACAGCCCCCCCACCATGAGTGACACCAGGAGTGAAGCAGTGGGGGAGGTCAGTGAGGGCTGGGGCCCACCAGAGGCTCCTTAGAGCAGGTAGGGTCTGAGGCGTGTTTGGAGAGATGCTGTGTGAGATTTGGATGACTTAGGGGCGAGGAGAGGGGGTGTCTCTGAGTTCGGAAACTTAGCGATGTGACCTGGGATGGATGCAGAGCCAGCAAATCCTGATCAGACTAAGGACCATGTGGAGGACAGTATGCAAGAGCCCCTGAAGTTTCAGAAGCCCTTGGGGCGGGAGGGCTGTTTCCTCCAGTCCCTTTGGTTTTTAAAATATTTGCCTAAATTTCTTGTGATGGGGATTCCCCCATTGAGTGGCCAGGGTCAGTCCCCTCTTTTGCTTGCCTGTATAATAAGGGTGAAGTGGGTGGAAGTGGACTAGAAAATCTCCCACCCTCTGAATCCAGGCATGTAAAGGTAAGTTAGGCCAGAAACCCAGGCCTCCAAGGCTTAGATTCACAGATGCTGCCAATAGGAAGTGGCTGCCCCCCGGTGCCACCTCACTTGGCTACTTATTCTACCAACCGAGGTCCCTGGGAAGGAGATCTTGGCACAGGAGGCCAAGCCAGCTAGAATGGCCAAACCCAGGCTTGTTCCTTCTTGTCTACGTACTGATTTATTTTAGGGCTAGCTTTGTTTTTTTTATGCCCAGGAGCGGCTATTTGTTTAGGATCTCAGATACTACATATTATATATTTCCTACCACCACTCTGCTCCAACCACCAGCCCCCGCCCAACACGCAGATGGTGCCAGACAGGCACCTCTTTCCCAGGCTGATCTCAGGGCAATGCTAACTCAGAGGCCCCCGAAGCAGAGTTCAGTCTCTAAGCAAGCAGAAGGGAAGGAAGGAGGGCAAAGGAAGAGGGGAGATGGGGAAGTTATTTTGTGATTCGGTTAAAGATGGTGTTAAAGTTTAGAGAGGTTATTCGAGTCTGTCTTGCCAACTCCTTATCTTCCTGACGCCCAGAGAGGGAAATGACTTGCTCAGCACAGCTCAGCTCACCCAGAGTGGACAGAGACCAGAGTACAGATGTGAGGCCTGGTGTTTTGCCCAACGCTTCCCTGCCAGTCCCCTTCTGGAGTTTCCTTTCCTGTGACTTGAAGATGGGAGTGAGGACAGGAGGGCAGGGAGCAAGCTGGTCCCTTGGGATTCTAGCCGCTACTATTGCCCATCCCTCCTCCTGACCGGCTTGTAAACAAGTCTAGTTCCCAGGCAGCCAGCCAGCCTGAGGAGCCAGACCCGTACCAGAAACTGACTCCAGGGCAGCCCCTCAACCCTGTGCAGGGCCAGCTGCACCTCCTGGGGGCCCTGCCTGTCGTGCTCCTCCTGATTCCTCTCCTATCTCAAGCTTCTGGGAAAAAGACAAGGTCAAGAGGTTCTTTCCCTTTCTCGCCTGCATACCCCACCCTCTCCTACTTCCCCAGAGCAGGAGGGGGGAAAGAAGTGGGATGGGACAGAGTAACCTTGGGAAGATAAGGCCAGTCAGCCTTGGGAAAGTAGGGAGTTAGCAGAGGGCAGGATTGGGGAGGGGAGACTGTGGAACTTGGCAGCTTGGGGGTGGAGTGGGGAAGATGGGTTTGCAGGGTCCCAGGCTCCCAGGTAGAGTTCTCAACATGCAGGTGGCAGAAGAGGAGTGGATGGCTATGTGGAGGTCTGTTTCCCTGCCTCTGAATCCAACTGGGGAGAAAGTTTCTGGAAGCTAATTAGGAGTCATGAAGCCACATGCGGACAGGGTTCAAGTGAGGACCTTCTCCTTAGATGGCTCCTTCATTCACTCAAAAAACATGTATTAGATAGTATTCATTGGAGAAGCATAGTAATCGTTCACAATATGCAAATTTTCATAATAAATATTGGAGGGGAAATACAAATTAAGCAGTTAAAAATCTGCCATGGAAACAAAAGTAACAGTCCTAACTCTCAAGGTGCTCCATAGTCTTATTCACCAACCTTGTACAACCATACTGGAAGTTGCCTCCACTTATTTTTGTAATGAAATGGGATAAGTAAGTAGAAGGGGGGTGAATAGATCGATAGAAATAAAGATAGATAGATAGAGACTGATCACCTAGTATGGCCAGGGGTTTTCCTACCCTTGGCCCACTTGCCCCTGCCCCATCTATTACTTCTCTAGGGATGTGAAAGGGATGGGGCTGGACCTTCCCAGGTACAGTGGTAATGCAGTGATGGTAAGTCCTAAGCATGGAGGCAGGCTGGTTTGGATTATGAGTCTCTCCACTGAGGAGAGAACTTTGGTTCCTGGACGACTGGGGTAGGGGTGATGACATAGACTGGACAGGGTGGTGATGGGGGTGGGGTGGAGTGTGGTAGGAGACTTTACAGGATTGAGGACTTAGCTCAAGGATTGAGCTTACACATCTTCCTGCAATCACGTCTTCAAGCATCTCACTCCTTAGTGAGAGAAGTTCTACCTTAAGACCTAAATTCCTCCTGCTGCTATTTAAGCCCATTACATCTCATTGTTGTGGGCCCAGAACATGCCTGGGCAGCTCGTACTTGTGGAGCAAATGGGGACAGTGGGGTGGATGTGCACTAAAGCTAAGCTGAAAAGTAGGCCACCTTGACCTTTGGCACATATCTACCAACATTTTCCTCCAGGTTTTCTTTCTCGTGGTGTCGCTTCTCCCCACCCAAAATCTTATTCCACCCCCTGCTAAAGACTTTTGAGTGGTTTCAAATTACCTTCAGCCTAAATGTTCTACCTACTTACTCTTACCAGACAGCGATCTCAGCTAAGTGCTCAAATGAGAGCATTCCAATTAAAGTAGTCCCCTCCAGGTGTGAATACCCAGCCAAGCGAACCTTCAGGGGTATGATGTACAGCGACTAAAAGGAAGTGCTAGTCTCAAATGAACCAAAGGCTGAGAATGGAGGGATTTCTCAAAGTGTGTGGAACTCCCGGTAAGGTCTTTACCCACCAAGTCAAGGAGTATCCCCTCCCCAATCAATTATGTTATCTGCCCTGCCACCCCCGCCACATGCACTGGTCTTGGCTTGCTATCATCTTGCTCTGGAAAGGTCACAGGCCCTGGAGCAGGAGAAGGGTCAGTGTCATCTACTTTACAACATGGCTTCAGAGACTCAGTCCCCAGTGCCTTCCTCCTGCTCAGGGAAATAGGGAGATATTGGGGGAGGGAGGGATCTGACAGAAGGAGAAATCTGGGCTAGAGAGGGGGTGTGACTTTCCTCAAAGGCTCCCTTCCCTGACCGCTCTAACATACCATGGCTTGCTGGGATTGCCCCACCTTTCTAGCATCAGGGCTAATCTGCTAACACAAGACCAGCTTGTGGTCCACTAAGACCAGATCCTTTTCTGACACTGTCTACTTTTCTTTATATTTCTTTATGATGTGTACCTTCTTTTCTTTGACAGCTTACTTTTTTTTTCCTAACTGCATTTATTTATTATTTTTATTTTTGGCTGTGTTGGGTCTTCATTACTGTGGGAGGGCTTTCTCTAGTTGCAGCGTGCCCGGCTTCTCATCACAGTGGCTTCTCTTGTTGCAGAGCAGAGGTTCCAGGATGTGAGAGCTTCAGTAGTTGCAGCACATGGGCTCAGTAATTGTTGCACACTGGCTCAGGTGCTGAGAGGCATGTGGGATCTTCCAAGACCAGAGATCGAACCAGTGTCCTCTGCATTACAAGGCTGATTCTTAACCACTGGACCACCAGGGAAGAAGCCCCGTGATGGCTTGCTTGATCTTCCTTCCATTAAAGTCCCCTTCCTCTCCCTTTTGGGTTAGGCCTGGTGAATTTTAACCTGGACTACCTGGTACCAGAAGCCTTCACCTTGAGTCAAAATCCTGTAAGGATTTATTAATGAAGGTGTACATAGAAGGATAATACTGACTCTTTGCTCTATAGCAATTTCAGCCTAGAATCTAGCTCAGAGTGGACACACACACACACACACACACGGAATAGTAAGAGAACCAGGTGGGACAAGCTATCTCAGTTGGGGGTGCTGGTGGGACAGGAGGCATGTCACAGCTCCCGGCTGTGGGCTGGACGCGGCTGGTCTCCCGCCCCTCCCCCAAGCTCTTCGAGTTACAACCATGGTCTGCTGTTCTTTACTTCCCAGGGCCGTGGGCAGCCCTTTGGTCATGGACCCTACCAGCATCTGCAGGAAGGCCCGGCGGCTCGCAGGGCGGCAGGCTGAGTTGTGCCAGGCCGAGCCAGAAGTGGTGGCTGAGCTAGCGCGGGGCGCCCGGCTGGGGGTTCGGGAATGCCAGTTCCAGTTCCGCTTCCGCCGCTGGAACTGCTCCAGCCATAGCAAGGCCTTCGGGCGCATCCTGCAACAGGGTCAGTGTGGGGAGGACCCCAGGAGGGGGCTGCTGTCTCGCCGTAGGGGGAGTCAGAGGAGAGGGTGGGGGTGGGAGAGGCCCACGGAGCCCCACTTCCTCCACGGGTCAAAGGACACGGCCCGGATCCTGTCTCCCAGCCCCACACCACGCTGCCTCGCGCCCACCGCAGCGCCCCAGAACCCAGCCCGGGTCTTGCTGTCTGACCGCCCCTCCTCGCCTCCACAGACATCCGGGAGACAGCCTTTGTGTTCGCTATAACGGCGGCGGGCGCTAGCCACGCGGTCACGCAGGCCTGTTCCATGGGCGAGCTGCTGCAGTGCGGCTGCCAGGCGCCCCGCGGCCGGGCCCCACCCCGGCCCCCCGGCCTGCCAGGCACCCCAGGGCCCCCCGGCCCCGCGGGGTCCCCCGACGGCAGCGCCGCCTGGGAGTGGGGGGGCTGCGGCGACGACGTGGACTTTGGGGACGAGAAGTCGAGGCTCTTCATGGACGCGCAGCACAAACGGGGACGCGGAGACATCCGTATGTTGGTGCAACTTCACAACAACGAGGCGGGCCGGCTGGTGAGTGGGGACAGGCACGTATAAGGGCGCGCGCGTGGGTGAGTGTGGAAATGTGGGAGTGTGGGTGAGTTTGAAAGATGTGGAGACTGTGGTATATGAGGAGGAGTTTGTGGAAGGCTGTGGGGAAGTGAGGGTGTGAGTGGCCTGCACAGTGTAGGAGTTTGTTAATGTGTGGGAGGCCACTTGGGAAGATTGGCTGGGGGTGTGGTTGGGCCAGTGGGAGGCAAGGTGGCTGACCTAGAAGAGGGAGTCACGCGGGGGGCCTGGGAGGGCTAGGGGCTGATGGCCCAGCAGACAGGGTAGGGAGGGGACACCCAGGGAAGAGGACCCAGGGCCTTTAGGGACCTCAGGTAGGGAGGACATACTTCTGAGACAGGACAAGTAGGGCTAAGCTTGGGTGGCTAGAGGCTGCCAGGGCAGGGGCTGAGGAGGGAGACCAAGGCCAAGGATGAGAGGAAGGACAGAAGCCCAGTAAAGGTATGGGGTCTGGAGGTTGGGGAGCTGGAAGAAGTGAGGGAGGCTCCAGGGACAATGGTCTTGCAAAGGAGTGAAGGACGAAGAGTGGATCCTGATGGTAGGAGGGGTCAGGCACAGGCCAGGGAAGCTGTGACAGTCTAGGCACTTGTCAACTGGTCAGTCCCTGCCCAGAACCCTGGCAGCCTCTCCCTTTCCCTCTACGATGAGCAGAGCCTCAGGAGCTCCTGTTTAGGGACAAGAAGCAGTATGAGTCAGATGTTCCTGGGGGGGCGGGGGGAAGGGGAAAGAGAAGGGGCCTAGGAGGGCGCCCATAGACTTTAAGACTGTAGATAAGGTTGGCCCCTGGACTCTGAGCTTCCGGAAATGATCTTCCTGGGGCATCTGACCCCATAAATCTCTAGCAGGGTTGTGAATCTTCCATTCCAGCTTCAGACATAAATGGTAAATAAAGGGCAGGACTCCTGGGTTTCAGTTCTCAGTAGGGCATTCATAGGGGCCCTCCTGCACCCTATGTCTCAGTTCTAGGGTGTGCCAGGGAACCCCCACATTCTATGTCTTGTAGGGTTCTGGCCTGAGGCATTGGGCAGGGGGGGAAGAGGGGACTCAGAGAGGAATGTCCAGACAGGCCCACATACCTGTCAGAAAGGGTTGGGGAGGGGTGGCGGAGACAGAGCCCAGGCCTCCTGCTCTGCCTGGGGCCCTGAGAGCAGGAATGAGAAGGCTGGCTGGCAAGAGGAATCCATGCGACAGCTGCCACCTTTACCCCCTCCCTCCAGGGAGAATCTCACCCTTGCTGTCCATTCCGCTTTCTCCCCCATCCCTTGGCTTTGGATCCTGGAATCTCTACACTGCATACTGTCCCCCACTCCCCACTGCTCCCACTTGGCCACCATTCTTCCTGCTCCTCCTCTCCTGGGTGTCTGGCCCGTGATTTCCTCCTTCCCACTTTACGCGCTCTTGCTTTTTTATTTGTTTTTTGGTCTGCTCTGTACAGTCTTCCATTCACCACCCTCCCCTATCTTATTTTCTGTCGGTCCTCTGGGCCTTTCTGCACCCCACCTCCCGGATCTGTTCCCATCCGCCTGCTCTTCTGCTCCCCGCAGGCCGTGCGGAGCCACACGCGGACCGAATGCAAGTGCCACGGGCTGTCCGGCTCGTGCGCTCTGCGCACCTGCTGGCAGAAGCTGCCCCCGTTCCGCGAGGTGGGCGCGCGGTTGCTCGAGCGCTTCCACGGCGCCTCGCGTGTCATGGGCACCAACGATGGCAAGGCTCTGCTGCCCGCCGTCCGCACGCTCAAGCCGCCGGGCCGCGCTGACCTGCTCTATGCCGCCGACTCTCCCGACTTCTGCGCCCCCAACCGGCGCACGGGTTCGCCGGGCACCCGCGGCCGCGCCTGCAACAGCAGCGCCCCGGACCTCAGCGGCTGCGACCTGCTGTGCTGCGGCCGCGGGCACCGCCAGGAGAGCGTGCTTCTCGAGGAGAACTGCCTGTGCCGCTTCCACTGGTGCTGCGTGGTGCAGTGTCACCGCTGCCGCGTGCGCAAGGAGCTCAGCCTCTGCCTTTGACCCGCCGCCCGCAGCATCCGGAACTGCGCGCGGAGCCGCCTCTCGGCACCTGCGGGACATCTGGGCGCCAGCAGAGGGCGCTGCCTCGGCCCGGCTTCCCCCTGAAAAAGTCCATCTCCCAGGCCTCTGGAAACTGCGAGGCGGTGGGGCTTGAGACTAATGCCGGTTCATCAAGCCCCAGGGCACTGAAGGAGCCGCCCGACAGGGGCTCCCGGGGACCTCATGAGGAGACCATATAGAGCCTCTCTCTCCTCGGCCCCCAGATGGAAACCAAAGAGCCAGTTTCTAGGCCTCTGGATGTGGGGCTCCTCAGAACTACTGGCCATGGGGTGGGTGGGTGAGTTTTGTATCAATAAAGATATTTAAACCAATAGGATATATCAATAAAGATATTTAAACCCGGGCCCAGGGCTTGGGAGGCGGGGCTGTTGTGGGGACAAGCTCTGACAGGAGTGATTAGAGGGAGATGGTTTTGATAGGATGGGCCTCTCAGGGGTCATCGCCTGGGTCCCCATCTGTCTTCCAGAACTGGGCTCTCCTGGTGGTGAAGAGTGCCGGATCCCGCCCTTAGCATTTTTCTTGTTCATGTTGGTACACATCTAGGGTCTGTATCTGCAAGCTGGGGGAGACCTGGGGTCCCCTTTAATGAGCAGACTGAGGGGATCTAGGGAAAGAGGACCAGAAGCCTCCGGTGGTGTACTGAGTTCTCAGGTCAGCCCTTGTCCTATTTCGGGGTGGGGGGAGTTTGTTTTCCTGTTTCTTGGGAATTTGAGGGTAGAATTATAGGGCCACCCAAACTCAAAATTTAACTTTAAAAACAGTAAATGTGATAAAAATGTCCTTAGTAACATCAGATTTTGTTGTCATCAAAACTAACTTCACCCCCACTAACACTGAAAAAAACTTAGAATGGCATTTCCAATGAAACTTAGAGGGAGGGGAAGCAAAGCTGTCCCAAGATTTCTCTTGGTATCCAACCCCATTCCTGCCTTTCTGATTCCTCTTGGAAAGCTAATGGTGAGGGTAAAGGGATAGAGGAAGGGTTGGGGTTCTGGGTTTCCCAGAATTGAGGGTAAGGCCCTCATCTTTCTCCAGAGAGAATGGAAGAGGACATGGCCAAATGGCTGGGATTTGGAGCCCCCATTGTCCCCACAGTCCAAAAACCGCAGTGGAGAATGACTCTCCCATCAAGGTATGCAGAGCAAAGCATGAGCATTAGATTCAGGCACTCTGGGTTGGAAACCAGTGCTGTTACTTAGAAGTTTACGATACAGGCCATCTTAGTCCCAGTGTCTTTACCTATGCAATGGGAATATCATTGTTTCAGTTATCCATTGCTGCATAACAAACAATCCCAAAGTAATTATTCCTCATGATCCTTTAGGTCAGGAATTTGTCAGGACTCAGCTGGGTGGTTCTGCTCTTTGTGACAGAGCTACTGGTTGTGGTCATCCACTTGGCTGATTCTGCTGGTGGCTCTGCTGGGATGGACAGTCCAAAAGGCTTCACTCATGTATGTCCAGTGTCCCAGAGTTTCTCCAGTAGCCTCCTTCTCTCCATGTGACTAGCTTGGGCTTCCTTACAACATGGTGGCCTCAGCATAAAGCTGGATTTCAAATTATACTGTGCCAAACTTGAAGGCAGAAACTGCAAGTGTCTTCTTAGGGTCCAGCCTTGGAAGGTACCCAGCATCACTGTCATTCCCTTTTGGTTGACACAAGTCATAGAACCAGCCAAAATTCACGGGGAGAGAAAACAGACCACTTCTCAGTGTGCTGAGTGTGTGCTAAGTCACTTGGGTCGTGTCCGGTTCTTTGCAACCCTATGGACTGTAGCCTGCCAGGCTCCTCTGTCTGTGGGATTCTCAGTAGGACAAGGGCAACTTGTTACACCCATCATAATGTATCCACACCCTCATATAATTTTGGGGAGGATTCTGTGAGATATGCAAAGCACTTAACATTTGATACAATAATTTATGTCATTTGTATTTAATAAATGGTAGTTACTGTGAGAAAGGGGATAGAGAGTTGATACTTCACAGGGCATTGGGAAGGCCTTGACTGCCAGTGAAGATACCCAACTCAAACTAACTTAGGCCAAAGGGAATTAATGAGTGGATCTCACACCTGGAAATGGTTGGATGGTATCACTGATTCAATGGACATGAACTTGGGCAAATTCCAGGAGATAGTGAGGGACAGGGAGGCCTGAGTGCTGCAATCCATGGGGTCACAAAGAGTTGGACATGACTTTGTGACTGAACAACAACAAAAATACCTGGAAAGTCTAGGTAAGTCTGAATTGAGGCACTGCTCACTTCAGGGGCCCAAATGATTGATGTCACCTCTCTCTCACCCTGACTCCCAGGTCTATTGTTTCTACTTGTCTCTGTCTCTCTTTTCATACTGTCCTTATTTTCTCCTGCTGCAGCAGACTTCCTCTATATGGCAGCCTTATGTCTACATTCTTAGACTCTTAGTGCCGCTGACCCATAAAAGATCAAAAAAGAATGGAATTCCCAGCAGAAGTCCTAAGGAAGCTGGGATCAGGTCAACTTGACCAACTTGCCTATCCTTGAACTAATAACAATGCGGTGTGGGGTGTGTGTGTGGGGGGGACTTCCCTGGCAGTCTTGTGGTTAAGACTCCATGTTCCCAATGCAAGGGGCATGGGTCCAGTAATTGGGAACTAAGAATTCACATGCTGCATAGTGCAGGAAAATAAAAAACTAGTGTCCAGGGAAATGTACCACCACGACTGGCATTGGTAGCCCCCCTAGAACCACAGGGAATTGAGGCACAGTGAGGAGAGGAGAGTTCTTCAAATGAAAGAGAGGGAAGGGAAACTCATCCTGGGTATGACAGACCCTTTACGTGGCTTCCAGGGCATCAGCCCTCCCCTGACAATACCCCTTACACACACCTGTGTGACCTCACCTGGTTCAGCCCTCGAAGATCACATCAGCACCCCAGAGTGATATGGAGAGGGAGTATCAGGCTGCAGCGAGAAGGAAAAGACATTTGGGTTTTCTTTTTCTTTTCCAATCTTCTTCCTCTTGGCTCCCTCAAGTCAAATACCTGGGCTTCAGGGAAGTACCATGGAGAATTCAGACTCAGAATCTCTTAAACTAAGGGGTTTGGCTAACTTACCAAGGCGGGAGAATGGAGCCAGAATTGTGGGCCCATGGACGAACAATGAAGCACTGTACAGGATAGGGTTTTTATTCACATTTCTGCCTTCTCCAGGCACCAAAGAATGGATGCTTCTGAACAGTGATGTTGGAGAAGACTCCTTGCATTTGGACTTCAAGGAGATCAAACCAATTAATTCTAAAGAAAATCAACTCTGATTATTCATTAGAAGGACTGCTGCTGAAGCTGAAGCTCCAATACTTTGGCCACCTGATGCGAAAAGCCTGCTCATTGGAAAAGACACTGATGCTGGGAAAGGCTGAAGGCAGGAAGAGAAGGGGACGACAAGATCGTTGGATGGCATCACTGTCTCAATGGACATGAGTTTGAGCAAGCTCTGGGAGACGTTGAAGGACAGGGAAGCCTGGCGTGCTGCAGTCCATGGGGTCGCAAAGGGTCAGAACAAATGAACACCTGCCTTCCCCCCAGAGTTCCCTGGCTGGGTACAACACTTACTGTTTAAAAAAAAAGTCTCCTGCACTTTTCTCAGAGGCCACCAGAGGGTGGACAGAGCCCAGCTTCCCTATTAACACAGCCCACAGATAGGACCTGCAGGACATCTGGGGAACTCAAGAGTCGTCAGTAGGAGAGGGTAGGATGGAAAGGAAGTAAGGAGACCCACGGACAGCTGGGTCAAGCTGCTAGGGATCCAGACTGTCTGAGACCTCTAGGCTGACCCAGATGTAGGGCTGGGATGCCTGCCTCTGTCTCTACTGCTGGATTCTAGTGCGGGGTGGTGATGGTGGGGCAGTGATACTGAGTGTGGGATGCTGGATTTCCTCTTCTGTGATGCTGGGGAGGACAACTGAGACAGTGGCAGAAACAGACACCATCCCTAGTAGTTTAAAAGGAATTCAGTGGAAGTAGCACGATCACAGTTGCGGGGGGTGGGGGGAGGCCTAGTTTGCCAGCTCGAGCTGGGCCAAGTCAGTTACCCTCTCTGAGCCTCAGTCTCCCCATTATGAAATGAGAGTGCCTGATAGCACGTGGTGGGAGTGCTTGCAGTCTCTGAACGGGCATTCGTGTGTTAGCGTCCGTCTTCTGTGACCAGTAGAGACTGGGAACTACAGCAGGAGTCTGGGAACTGCCTTCTATGAAAGGTGAGAGTGGTAGCCCCGGGAGGCATCATTTTGACCATTATCCCAGTCCTCTTTAAGCTTGGAGGTGGCTCTGCATCATTGCCCTGAGGACTGGGATGGGGGCTGGAAGTAGAGCTCAGAAATGCCTCAACACCATGACTACCCCACCTCCCCCGTCTTGCTCACCCAGCTGCCCAGCCTCAGGCACAGTCTGAGCCATCGAGGTCCCCTGCTGGCTGAGTGGTGGGGGACATGTGGAACTGGGGAGATGGGGGAAGAGCACAGAGGCACTCCAGATGTGTGCGTGACCACATCAGGGAACGCCGGAACAAACAGGCAGAAGGGCGGGGAGGCCGGGAGGAAGGCCCAGGACTCAGGAAGCTCTTTCCCTCCCCTTCCGGACCTAACACACGGGTCTGGGAGACTGGAGCTGCCGGCTCTTCCCCCTTCCTTCCTTACCTTCCTGAGGGGGCCATGGTCCCTGAGGCCTGGACGAGAGGATGAAGAACTGCCTCATCACTCTGGGGCTCCTTCGCTACCTTCTTCACAAAGCTAACCTTCTCCAGCAGAGCATTAGGACTGAGCTTGGACTGGGCTCAGCTGGGGCGGTGAGGGTCCCACCTGTTCTCACCCTGGTGCCTCCCTGGCCCTCCCTTCCCCGCAACCTCTGACGGAGCCGCCACAGCTGGAACCATTCTCCGGCGCTGCCTTTCATCCCTGGTCTCCCCCACCCCCAGTGGCCCCTGTAATTGTGGTCTCAGGCAGCGGCTGCGGGGGCTGGGGCTAGGCTGAGGGCCAGAGCCCAGGGCAGGGCCAGGGCGGGGCTTGGGGGCTGCTGATAGGGGCTTGCCCATGGCATGAGTCCTGTGGGGTTGGGGCTCCAGCAGCAGACACCCTTTCAGGGTTTCATTTTCACATATGCCAAGGCCATGGGCCCACATAGGTCCTCACTTCCCGGGGCTAGGGAGAAGCACCCCAGATGGGGCACTCCTGGGCCCTCATGACAGCAGGCTAGTGCCATGCTTGAGTGCCAGCAAGGCTTGGGCATTGTTTGCTTCCTGGAGTTTTCAAAGAAAGGTTCTTCTCCCTCTCTCTTACATTTCTGTATTTCATGAATAGTGGAGGGTAGGGGAGCAAAGAGATCAGTCTTCCTCTGATGAAGGCCAAAGGGTGGGGGGGGGAATCAGTCACTAAACCAGGTCAGTGGCATTTCCCAAATGTGGTCCTCTTGAAAAGCACTTGAGACGTTGGACAGAACTTCAGACCCCCAGGTCTTGCCTCTGGAAAGGCTGATTCAGCTTCATAGAGCCCAGAATTGGAATTTCCCACAACGGCCTACCCCAGGGGACACATACAATGCATCAAATGTGGGAAATGCTAGTGTGAGCGCTAGATGTGGAGTAAGGAGGTCTGTAGCCTGGATTATGAACCCATTGCTTGATCCTTTCTGGGCCTCAGTTTCCCCAGCAGCCAATGGGAGTCTGGCTCCCCAGTCTGGCTTGTCCCTGCTGGTGCTCTGTCCTACTCTGGGCTCACGCCTCCTTCCTGGGTTGAGACTGGTTCTGCCCTGCCCCTCCCCAGACCCTTCCCAAACTTTAGACCCAAGCTGTCGCTCTTTCCTGCAGCCTGGTTGGGGGGAGTGGGGAGGGCAGGGGGCGGCTGGGGTCAAACCCGGCTCTGGCTGACGCAGACTGCTTCCTGCCCCCGGCTGTTTCCCTGCTGTCCAGCCAGACTGAACCCCCCACAGCCCCACCCCCACCCCCAGCAGCCTCAAGCCCTTAATTCCTGACAGCTGCGGTGGCTCCCGGCAGAGATGGGGGAGAGAAGGAGGGAGATGCCGTCAGCCTGCTGTTGCTCAGGCCGCCCCCACCACCTGACAGTCTGGGGACAGGGAAGGCCCCACCCCTCTCGTTCGATTCCCTGGAGTGGGGTTGATTCCAGGAATGGGCCCCTTTTTGTCTCTGAGCCCAGAGGCTCTGGTTGTTTATCCTTAAGCCAGGAGGGGCTCTCTTCAGAGAGGGGGGCAGTGAGGTTGGGAGGGACGCATAGGTATAGAGTGAGAGGCTTGTGCCCATTTTACAGAGGGGGATGTCAAGGCCACAGTGGGCATAGGTTTTGCTATCAGGGCACAGGTTAGGGCCAGAAACAGAAGCTAGAGCCTCTGTCCCCACCTCTCTGGCTTTCGGGCCCTTTACCCGGATCCGGTACACTCATCCTGCCAGGCGAGCCTACTGTTCAGCTGGGATACGAGGACAGAAAGGGATCCCAGAGAGGAGTGGCCCAGAGGAGTGGCCCTGAGGAGTGGCCAGGAAGCTGGTGTTTGGGAGCTCCCAGAGCACCAAGAGGCAGGGCCAAGGTGAGACCTGGGGTATCTACAGGCTGAGCATGGGGAAGGAGGCCTCACTGTTGGGACTGCTGCTGCTATGCTCAAGTGGGCTTTGATCCAGCTCTTCCACTAACTTGCTGGGTGACCTTGAGTAAGTCATGACCCTCTCTGAGCCTCAGTATTTTCTTATGAAATAAAAGGGGATGAAATAAGATGACCTCAAAGCACACTTTTATGATTAAAAGGCTGTCTAATCCCTCCTCTTAGGGTATGCCACCCCTGGATGCTCTGCTCCCAGATAAGCACCCACTGGCGTCCCAGGACTTTTACCTTCACTGGCTCATTGATGAGATGAGGTGGGTCTCATTAACCTCATTTCACTGAGGCAGAGGGTGGCTTGGTGTCCAGGAGGCAACTGTTGAAGGTTGCACAGCCAACAAGAGCGAGATGGAGGGGGGGGCGGGGGAGGCTGCCAACCCCCTCTGCAGGACCCCACACCTGCCTCAGCAGCCAAGCCTGGGAAGTCCCTCCCGAGGTGGGGGAGGCGAACAGAGGGCCAGCCCCTCCCAGTCCCTGCAGGTGTGTATATGCGGCAGGGGGTGGGGGGAGGTGAAGGGGGTGGCTCCCCAGCAGCTGCGGCTCAGCCGGGCGCACACACCTCACAGTAACACACACCTTCCCACACAAACCAGCCAGCCGGCTCACTGGCACCGCCCTGGGCCTGATCACGCAGACCCCAACACCTCTTCTCCCAGGCCCTCCCCGCACGGTCTGCACCGCGTCTCCCACCCCAATGCTAAGCAGACACAGTGGCCTCGGGAGGAGTACACGCCTCTGCCCCCCTCCCCCGTCGCCGTGACGTCACGTGGGGTAGAGCCCTGAGACACGGGGGTTGGGGGGAGGAAAGGGGAGGCGGCCGAGCTCCCCAAGCCGGGACAGTCACTCACTCTTTTGGGCGGTGGGGCCGGGCACAGACAGCGCCGCCCCCCCACAACTCCCCCCACCCCGCCGCCAGCCTCGCACGCCCTAGGAAGCGCAGGCTCACCGCGCTGTGCTCGGGGGCTCCCCGGCACCCCAGCCTCTCTTCCCTAGCCCACAGCACCTCCGGGCCCCCCTTACACTCAAGAGGCACCAGGAGTTGTTGCAGGGGGGCCTCGGGAAATTCCCCGAACCCCTGTGCCAGGAGGTGCCCGGTGCGCCCGCCCGCCGCCCCCCCCCCCGAGGGCGGTGCCCGGGGGCGCTGCCCCATGGAGCAGGGAGGCGGGCACCGTCTGCTCTGGGAGCCGTGACCCGAGTCGGAGCTGTGTGTCGCAGCCGCCCCGACCCCCCGCGGATCATGCGCCGTCGCCCCTGGCTCGCCGGTCCCACCGGGCTGTGAGCCCCCCACTCCTGGCCCATCACGGCCTGCGCGCGATGGGCAGCACTCACCCTTGCCCCTGGCTGCGGCTCCGACCTCGGCCCCAGCCGCGGCCCGCGCTCTGCGCTCTCCTCTACTTCCTACTGCTGCTGGCTGCCTCCGTGCCCAGGTGAGCCCTCACCTTATGCCCCGCCCTCCTGGAGAGCTGGGACCCCCAGCCACAGGGGCCTCTGCGAGCCTGCTGGGGCAGGGGACCCTGAAAGGAGGGAGGGACGGCGTCGCAGGAAAGTGTTGATGACCAATGAAAAGAGTACTCTCACAAGGAGGGGGTTGAACTGGTGACAGAATAAGGGCAAGCCAGGGAGACAGGGCAGTGCCCAGAAGAGTGATGGCTACTAGAGAGGGAAGTGTGTTTAGGGGGCAGCAAGTGCCAACGTGGAGTCCCTGCTATGCTGGGGGTACATACCTCGCCCCAGGAGTAAGCTCAAATTGCCAAGCTTTACCTTGGAGATTGCCCCTAGGCAGAGGCAGGGGGTGGGAGCCCAAAGGGGGTCGTCCAGGTGAGGTCAATGAGAGATGGCAGCTAGAAGTGTCCTTAGGGTGCATATGCATGTGTGTGTGTGTGTGTGTGTGTGTCTTTCTGTCTGTGGTCAAGTGAGCCCAGCAAGCTGAGTTGTAAACAGCAGTCTGTGTGCACATGTATGGATATGAGGGCTCATGGATCAATGTATGTTCAGATGAACATGTGTGTGAACTTGTGAGTGTCCGTGTGTATGTGTATAACTACGTCTGAGGAAGTGTGCATGTGGGTAAGTGTTCCTGCATCTGTGTGTCCACTTCAATGTGTGCACAAGTGTGTCTGCATGAATGTGACTGTCTGAAGCATGCCATTGGGAGTGGTCTCCCGGAGAACGCTGCGCTTGAGCGCATCAATGCCTGGGGATGTACTTATGAAATACTGTGTGCGCAGGCATACCGGATGTGTGCGCATTTGCACTTGTTAATCAGTATGGGTGTGCAGCCCAGTGGGCTGTCTTGGAGGGGAGGATGGTGAGAAGGTCAAGAAAAGGAGAGTGCTTTGAGGGTACACTGATGGGCTCAACCCTGGAAAGCGGGGGTTGGGACAGATGGATTATGGCCTTTGGGACAGAGTGTGTATAGTTAGATGGGGCCCTCCTAGCCCCCAAAACATTCACCCACCCCAACCCCACCTGCCTGCAGGTCTGCACCCAACGATATCCTGGGCCTCCGCCTCCCCCAGGAGCCCGTGCTCAACGCCAACACGGTGTGCCTGACATTGCCAGGCTTGAGCAAGCGGCAGATGGAGGTGTGTGTGCGCCACCCTGACGTGGCTGCTTCAGCCATCCAGGGCATCCAGATCGCCATCCATGAGTGCCAGCACCAGTTTCGGGATCAGCGCTGGAACTGCTCTAGTCTCGAGACTCGAAACAAGATCCCTTATGAGAGTCCCATCTTCAGCAGAGGTAGCTGCCCCTCACCCTCACCCTTGCCCTGCCCACCCCATTCAGCACCCCAACTCCAGAGGTGATCTGCCAGCCATCTCCTAACCCACTCCTTCAAGCTGGCAAGCTCCCCAGGTGCTCATCTCTTAGCCGTGTTGCTCTCCTCCTGCCTCTTTCTGTTCTGGGCAAGTCCATGGTTGGAGGGTGGGGGGGTGGGCAGTCCGACGAATGGTGCAGATGTGACTCCAGGCTGGGCCGTGTGGGATGCAGGTGGCAGGTTTCATCCCTGAGAACTGAACTCCTGGGTTATCCTGCACTGAGATTGACTCTGCCTATCTCAGGCCCAGGAAATAACCATATCTGTCACCTGCCTCAATTTACCCTATACCCAACTAGTAAATAGCATTTAGGATGGAGGGCCTGTGATGAACTACCCAGAATCCACACGAAGAAGGGTCAGGGACCTTTGCCCAACAGTGTAGGTGAGGGAAGCCTAAGTAGGTAAAACTATACTTCTGCAGAAGCCTTTCCCAGCAGGGAACACCACCAGCCTCCCTGTCATCCTTGCTGCCCCTGCAAACCCTCTCTGAATCAGAGGCACTGGGTGTGTGCCTGTCTTCTCCCCAACAGGCTTCACTTACGGTTCTGCCTATCCCTTTTCCCCTCATGGCTGGGAGAAGCTGCAGCCTACTATCTGTCCCCCTCCCTGGACTTTTGGGTGACCCACCCGGACAATCCCTAGAGTGGCTTGGGCTGGAGATGGCAGGTGCTTTCCTCATCAGTTCCCCTCACAGCCACCTCCTGCCCTGGTATCTTAAGCTTTGATTCAGGTCTTTGGGAAAAGATGGGGGTCTTGCCTCCTGGATGGACCTAACTGTGTCTCTCTCTCCTCCGCGCAACTACTAGGGTGGGACAGCGTGGGGACCTGACTACTTGGGACTTGTAAGATTCTCAGGTGACAGGAGAGGAGGCCAGGTACCCCTGTACTGGGTGGCTTTTGGGCCCACGGGCTTTTGGGAGAGTCAGACTCTAATGTACCCTAAATTCAGAAAGAACTGAGTCAGGGGCATTCCCTGTCCACCAGGACCCCTCCGCGCATCCCCGGAGCCCCCAGGTCAGGGGCCACCCCAGCCTCCCCCAGCCCAGCCCCTGGCCGCCCGCCCCGCCCCCGCGCGCTCTCCCTGCTCCCTCCCCCGCGCACCCGGGGCGCTGTTTCTCCCCGGCCGAGCCCAGCCCGACGCGTGTGGCGGCATGCAGCCGCGAACTAATCCCCGCGGGCCGCGGCAGACGGCTCCCGGCCCCAGCCGCGCGCCTCTCAAAGAGGGCGACCCCCCCCCCCCCACCCCGTCCCCGCGCTCCCGCCCCGCCCGCCCCGCCGCCCGCGAGCCCCTCCAGCCGTCTGCCGGGAGAGGATGCCCGCGACCCCCGGCCGATCAGCCGGCCCGATCTGGCCGGGCGCCCCGCCCTGGCCGCCCCCGCTGCCGCCTGGCTCACGGACACGAAGTGACAGGCCCCTGCATCTCTCCTGCCCCGGCCGGGCTGGGCCGGCGCTCCCCGCTGCAGCGCGCCCGAACCCACTCCGGGATTCTGGGTCACCCGCGCTCCCCGAAGTCCGGTTCTCGCCAGCGTTGGGCTCCGAGTTTGCTCCGGGTTCCGCTCGCTGAGGACTCGGGCACCCCTGTCTCTTCGGGGGAGGCGAGGCTAGCTCTTCGCCCCTCTTCCCGGGGCCTCTGTGTCCCTTCTTTCCCTCTGGTCCTCCTGCCCCCTCTAGACCGAGTAAACCCAGGCGCCCCGACTGCTTCGACCGGGGGAGGCCCGTTCGGGCTGGTGGAGGACACGGGGGCTTTGCAGCTTGGGGGAGAGTTCGGAGCGGTGGAACCCCGCGGGGTTGGCGCTGTGCCAGGCGCTCCCGGGTTCACCTGCAGTTTAATAAGCTGGAGGTGAGCTGGGGGGACGGGTAGGGGGGGAGGTGAGGTGTGGAGGGGGGAGACTTGCCGGGGCTAGCCGGCGCGGGGCGGCGCCCAGCGCGGGGAGGGGGCGGGACAGCGCGGCTCCTGGGCTCCTGCAGGGAGGCTGGGCTCCTGCCTTTGGCCTCAGAACTCCGGCCTACCTTTGCGGCTTCTGCCTCTCCCTGCACCCCCACCTCCCCTTTGCAACACCTCATTTCTACCTCTCCATCCTCCTCGGAGGATGGCCTCCTCGGAGGGCTTCTGGAAAGAAATGTCCACTCCGCACCCCTCTGCTCACCTCCCAGGGCCACCGTTGCGCTGCCTCACTCACTCCACACTCTTGTGGGACCATTTTCTTGGCCCATCACCTCAAGGACTAGCTAAATTTGAATCCCACGGGCCAGTCTTGGCGGTAAGGAGGCCCTGGACTGGATTCTTCCCCCAGTCTCCCTTCTTTTCAAGTCACAGATTGTCCATGAGGAGATCAGAGGACCCCAGTTTCCCCATATGGAGTATCAGTATGGTGACCCCTCCTCTGACCCAGGCTGCCAATGGAGTTCTTTTAAAGGTGCACTTGGGCTTCCCGGGTGCCTCAGTGGGTAAAGAACCCACCTGCCAATGCAAGAGACATAAGAGACGTTGGTTTGATCCCTGGGTGGGGAAGATCCCCTGGAGGAGGGCATGGCAACCTACTCCAGTATTCTTGCCTGGAGAATCCCCATGGACAGAGGAGCCTGGTGGGTTACAGGCCATGGAGTTGCAAAGAGTCGGACAGAAGTGACTTAGCGTGCACATGCATGCCGCCATGTTTAAAATTCACAGACTGCTTCCAGGAGGTGGTCCCCCAGGTCTTCCACCTGAGTACTGTCACTGTCATCTAATTGTCCTGACACTTTCCCTGCAATGGGTTGGCTGAAGGGATGGAGTTCTCATGTAGGAGGTAGAGGGAAGGGTGTTCGAGCACCGGGGTGGGTGCTAGGGAAGCAGGACACACAATAGGGCTTTCCCCAACCAAGGAGAGGGAGGTGGGGCTGCTGGAAACTGGGAGTTGGGAGGCAGGGAGAGTGGGGTCTCTAGGGAACTAGAGTCCTAAATAAACTGTGAGAGGACCACCCCCATCTCAGAGGCAGCTGTGACCCAAGGATCCTGGTATCCCCAGCTTTCAGTTCTGAGGACTCACACGGTTGGTGCTTGGGTGGGTGAGATGCTGGATAAACATTGGCTAGAAGGAGCTCTTTATTATGTGGATTAAAGAACTCCACCTCTTATTCAGGATGCAGGGACCAGAGGGAGATTTGAGAAAGGGGCTGTTTAGAGCTGGACTTGGGCATTGGAGTTAGAAGGGATGAGAGGACAGGGACAGATGTGGTGGAGAGAGTAGACTCATGCAGCAGGTCCTGGAGCACTGGCACAGTTTGGGTACCGCCCTCCCTAAGGCCCAGACTCATTCAGAATGGATGGAAAGAGGGGGCGTGAGGCTCTGCAGTAAGCCAGGCTCCCAGCCCAGGAGAACCCAGCAATTTGAGAGTCTAGCCTCTGCTCTCCAAGGCCCTGGCTCTTTGTCTCCCACCTCCCTTTTACATTCACCCTCAGGGAGTCTTGTTTTTCTCTGTGGGCTTGGGATATGTGATGGTACTCACATGGGGAGACTGAGGCACAGGCAATCATATCCTAATGATTATCCTAACCATAATCATAATCATATCCTAACAGGATCACCTAAAGTCCTGTTATTCTTGTTTGTTTAGTCACTAAGTTGAGTCCGACTCTTCGGCAACCTCTTGGACTGTTACCCACCAGGTTCCTCTGTCCATGGGGTTTCCCAGGCAAGAATAATGGAGCGTGTTGCCATTCCCTTCTCCGGAAGGAGACCTTCCCAACCCAGGGATCGAACAAATTACCCAAAACATATTAAGTACTTGCTGTGTGCTGATCACTGTTCTGAAGCACTTTACCTGTTCTGTAGGATCTTCAAACAAACCCCATGCACTAGGTTCTATCATTATCCTCCTTTTATAAATGAAGCTTAGAGAGGTTGGGTAACTTGCCATTAGTCACACAGCTTGTACATGAGCTGCAGAGCCAGGACTCAAGTGTAGGCCAGCTGTTCTTAGAGATTGCACTCAACCCCCTGCATACTGCCTCCCAAGCTGCAAGGCCACCATGATCTCCTACCTGGTGCCCAGAGGTGAACTGGTACAATGGAGAAGTAATCCAAAAAATGGAACTGACATGCACACATGTACACGCGCACTCTCACACACCAGCACCTACCCATAGTTGTGAAGACGTGACGCTACATTCAGTGTCACTCCTAAGTGTTCCCACATATACGCAACCCTCTCTCTCTCCCAGGCCGGGAACATGAACACACACAGATTATTTGCACACAGATTATTTGTGTGGAGGGAATGGAGACCAGACTTCTCCACCTCTCCTCCCTCTTTGACTTGAATGGGCAGGTCCCAAGCTTCTCTAAACCTTCCTAGTTCCCACTGGCTCCCGAGTCCTCTCTCCTCCACACTTCTCTGCCCTCCAAACCTCCTCCCCCAGCCCCTTCCTGGCCGTTGGCTGCGTCCTGTAGCAGCAGCTGACTCCAGTTAGATGCTGGCAGTCCCTGTCCCAGATCAAAGGCAGGGCGGCTAATTGTGCGTCTTAACGAGCCCCCACCCCCCAGTGCTCCGGGCAGCCCAGCTGGCCAAGGCCCCACCCCTCTCCCCCTCCAGCTGGCCAGCTGGCACTGTGCCTGCGTCTGCCCCAGACAGTTGGGGCCAGGACCGAAACTGGGGCCCAGAATGGGAGCTGGGGGCAGACCCAATGGGCTGGCCTTCTCTGAATGCTTGGAGCAGAGGGTGACCACACAAGCCTTGCCTGGTCACTCCTACATGTGGCTGTGAGAGGTGCCAGAGGCCATGGGATGGTGTCTTTAGCTGCCCAGGGTAGGTAGGGGTGTTCTTTGTAAGCTGTGGGCTACATTTCTCCAGATTCCTCTAGGCCTGCCCTTGAATGTAATGGAGCCTGGAAGATGGTGGTTGGGTTGGCCCAGCACATCTCCTGGGGCCAGCAACTTGCTCTTTCCTGGTGTTATGCATAGACAGAGGACTGGGAACTGTGCTATCTGGGTTTCTTACTCAGCAGCAGGTCTTCTCCAGAGCCAAATGTCCTTCAGTAGAAAGTGGCCAGGCCTGGGAGCTGGGAGAGCTGGGGCTGGGCCCAGCTACATTACCCGTCTTTTGTACAGTGTGTGTAAGTGTGTGTGTGTGTGTGTGTGTGTGTGTGTGTGTGTGTGTGTGTGTTGGGAGGGGTGCTTTCTGGGCTGCCTCTGGTGGTCTATATATGGCCATTTGTCCTAGAAGCAGGCTGATGACTCCCCCACCCCAAGCAATAAGTGCTCAGGGTCCCACAGATAAAAGGCAAGGGATAAATACAGGGTGTGTGCCTCAGCTAGAGTCTGCCTTTCTTTCCCTTGGGCCCCACCTCCCAGGGCATTGTCTACTCCTCTGCAACTCCCACCAGTTCCCAGAGCCCCCTCTGAGGGCTCCTGCCTATTCTCTGTTCCTTCCTGTTTCCTCAGAGCTGGGTTTTTCTTAGAAAAGGTCCTGAGATGTCATCGGCTGGAATGAGAAGCTAAGGAGGGACCATCTGCTTTATGGGCTTCTGGTGACCCAAGCGATTTGTTCTAGAGTGGGCCATGAGCTGCAGAGCTCCGGGCCTGGCTGGGGAAACAAGGAAGGGCAATAGCCTGAAGCTGCAGCAGCAGTGGGTGAAGTCAGACAGCAGGAAGGAACTTCTCAAAAATATCGAGTGTTTACGTAGTCCTTACTAGGAGTAAGGTATTATCCTAAGCATTTTAAATTTCTTAACTCAGTTCTTGGAACAACAATGAGACAGATGTTTTACAGATGAGAAAATTGAGGCACAGAGAGGTCAAGTCACTTGGCCAAGGTCACATAGCTATTACCAGCTAGTAAGTGGAAGAGCCAAGATTTGAAACCCAGGCAGTCTGGCTCCAGAGTTCATATCCTTTTACACATCTTGTTTTCTGTTTTTGTTTTTTTTTTGCCAGGCAGGGAGAGGGGGACAGGGCCCTGTGATGCAGAGGGTAAGCATTAGGGGCAGGACTGGGTTAAGGTCTCTGTCCAGTCCTGATTGGCTCTCTGGGGTCAGTGAGGCCTCAAAGTCCTCTCAATCTTGATGCTGAGGTAGTAAGATCTGGAGTTTTTTCTTCTGAATCTCTAGCCTTTCCTAAGCCATCAGCTCCTAGCCAAGTTCTGGCTTCCCCACAGGTGTCTATGGCTCAGCAGAATCTCCTGCTCATGTGGGAGCTGTTACTGCCCTTGGTTTCTCCCACTGCTCACACTCTCTCGGGTTCAGAGGCTGGTCAGAGACCTGCCCTTAGCCGGTCCTTTCTCAGATGCAGAATGAGATGCAGCTTGCAGGTCCAGAAGCCCAACCCTCCTCTGCAAGTAGGCCTCCCCCTGCCACAGACCCAGAGAATGGCTCAAGCTGGGAATGTCAAGGAGGAGGAGCAGTGTAGACAAGTCCTGGGCTCCTGAGAGTCACCCATCTGGGAAGCTTTGCACCCATGAGCATCTCATGAAGGCATCTACCTTAGCTAACTGTTCCTTCTCACTGTTCAACATGACTATACTCTTTTTTTTTTACATTTATTTTTATTTATTTGGCTGCATAGAATCTTAGTTGTGACATGTGGGATCTAGTTCCCTGACCAGGGATCGAACCCAGCCCCCCTGTATCAGGAGTGCAGAGTCTTAGCCACTGGACCACCAGGGAATTCCCTCAACATGACTATACTCTTTAACCCCGAGTCAGCAGGGGGCTCACTCCTAGCATCCTTGAGACAACCTCTTCAGCTGACCTGAACAAACCGCAGGCAATGCCCTTTTCTGAGCAGACTTTCTGGGATGTCACGTGGACAGGGAAGGGGGAAATTCCGCTAGCTCTTTTCCCTCCCTCTGGTACTGGCCATCAGAAGGTGTTCTGTGATGTGCCCAAAGGGGTGGCTGCAGTCAGGATATCTTGGGGCTGGAACCTTAGGAGGATACCATCTCCTCTTACCCTTCTGCCCATTACCATCCCCTGGGGCCCAGAATTCCATCACTGGTAATTTATTTCTTTTAGGTTAAAATTTGCCTTCTTTCTGACGGCTTATCTTAAAATGGCGAATATTGCATGAGAGGTAATAACTTAAGTCTTTGATGGTAAAAAAAAAAAATGTTTACTAGATAGTGTCTGTCCAACGGGAGAGCTGTAGACACAAATTCTGAGCTTGCTAAGGGTGAAGGGAAAGGAGTTCAAAAAGGAGGGCTGTGAGGAGTCCTCCCGTATTCCATCCCGCGTGCAGAACTTCCGGCGGAGCGGCGTAATTTCTGCCCCTCTCTGAGTCTATGTCCTTGTACCAGATCCCTCCCCCGCCCAACACTGGACCCGGCTTCCCCTCGTCGCGGTGAGAAGGCTGGGTGAGGAGGGCCCCTCAAAGGCCGTTTCCCGCATTTCTACGCCCAGGTTTCCGAGAGAGTGCCTTCGCCTACGCCATCTCGGCAGCCGGCGTGGTGCACGCGGTATCCAATGCCTGCGCCCTGGGCAAGCTGAGGGCCTGCGGCTGCGACGCGTCCCGGCGCGGCGACGAGGAGGCCTTCCGTCGGAAGTTGCACCGCCTGCAGCTGGAAGCGCTGCAGCGCGGCAAAGGCCTGAGCCACGGAGTTCCCGAGCACCCTGCTCTGCCCCCTGCCAGCCCCGGCCTGCAGGACTCCTGGGAGTGGGGCGGCTGCAGCCCTGACGTGGGTTTTGGAGAGCGCTTCTCTAAAGACTTTCTGGACTCCCGGGAACCTCACAGAGACATCCATGCGCGCATGAGGCTCCACAACAACCGAGTAGGGAGGCAGGTGAGCGCCCCACCCCGCTGGGCCGGCTCAGACCCCTCTGCCTAGGGCCCCTCCCCTCTCCCGGGCTCATCTCTCCTCTGAGACCTTATCACTGTCCCTAACTCAGCAATTTATCGTTGTGTGTGCTTAATCTCTCAGTCCTGTCCGACTCTGCAACCCCATGGACTAGCCCTCCAGGCTCTTCTGGGGATTCTCCAGGCAGGAATACTGGAGTGGGTTGCTCTGCCCTCCTCCAGGGGATCTTCCCAATCCAGATCTCCTGCAGCAGATTCTTTACTGTCTGAGCCACCAGGGAAGCCCCAGCTTATCATCGCCCCCTCCTAATTTGGTCATCAAATGTGTGTTGGCTAGCTACTGTGTGCCAGGCACCAGGCTAGGCCTGGGGCTATGAGGACAAAACAGCCTCTGACCTGGAAGAGCTTCCCCTCTGCTGAGCAGCCTGATCCTCCCAGTTCCTGCTGTGAGCGGAGGGGAGAGCTCTGGGTTGCAGTCAGGACCTCCAAGTCTAGGCCTAGCTCTGCCACTCAGTCTCCTCCCCTATAAAGTGAGAAGGTTGAACTGGATGATCTGTAAGACTCCCTAGTGCGAATGTTCCTTGATTCTGTTTCCCTATGCTTAGACACCCCTCCTCTCCCAGACTTTCAGTGCAGAACGAGAAAGTCCTGCAAAGGGAGATTCCCTGGGGCCCCAGTGGTACTGTGTTCTTATCATCCTCCTTTCTCTGCACCCCCTGCCACCTCCAATATTCATACTCCCTGAAAGGGTCATTCATCTTAAACGGGGCTCCCCCCTTTAAGAAGAAGAGGAGGAGGAGGAGGGGGGGGGAAGAGAAGGAAAGGGGGGAAGAGGAAGGAGAAGAGGGGGAGGAGGAAGAAGGGGAGGAGGATGAAGGAGTGGAGAGGGAGGAAGGGAGGGGGAGGAGGAGAGGGAGAGGACAGAAAGGATGAAATAAAGGAAGGGAGTTGTGGAGGAAAGAAAGAAGGGAAAGTAATAGCACACATTCGATTTATTGAGTCCTTTCTCTGTGTTAGTCATTGTTCTGGAGCATTTTACTGCATATTCACATATTTCACTTAAACCTACCTATGAAGGTTCTATTATTCACCTCATGTTCAGATATGGAAAGTGAGGCACAAATAGACTTAAGAAGCTTGGCTAAGGTGATGCAACTAGTGAGAAAGTGGCAGAGGCAGGATTCACCTCCAAGCAGTTGAGCCCTGAACCCTTTTGTTCTATAGTGTAGTCTACATGAAGATGCCCCCCTAGCCCTCGTGGTAGCTCAGCTCCCTCTTTTCTTGGCTACTCAGCCCCCTGTCCCTTCTCTCGGCCCCGCCCCGTCTGCTCAGGCCTTGTGTCTGGCTTCCCCTCACTCTGGCTGGCACTTTCTCCTGGCTTCTCAGCCCAAGCTGGTTCACCTCCTTCTTCCACAAAGACTGGAGCTGATTCAGCTCTCCCATCATGACTGAGAGGTGAGGTAAACTGAGGCATATCCACCCTGAGGTCACGTCCAGCTCCCACCCGGTTCTGCCCTGTTCATGCAGCTCTTTTCCCAAGCTTCCATTACTACCTCAGCCCATACCAACAATGCCTCCTCCTCCTTGTTAAACTGGTTAATTAATGGCTGCTGCCTGTGGGACGCAGATGTTCTGGAGCTGTTGGCCTGGGGAGGCACTGGGCTGCTTTCCACGTGGTGTTGACACCACAGGCTGCACATACAAGCTGCAGAGCCTTTTAAGACTTGGAGGAATGGGGTCCCTCTCTTATGGCCCTATTGCCCAGGTTTGAGGGCCCCTGATCATTGCTTTGTGTTTTTGGAGTGGAGCAGGGGGAGGGGCATGTAGCCAGTTTCCTCTAGCGTCTCTGGTGAGGATAACGTCTCTTTAGGAGACTCAGGAGAGCAGGCTAAGGGCCGGGCAAGAAGTGGATAGGTTGCATTATGGTAACTAGCTCCCTTGGAAGCCCAGGAGCCTCTCTCCACTTTCATTGCCCTGGGGGTCTGGCTCTTTGCGTTCCCTTTGGTTCTGTATTCAGGTTGAGCCTTTGGCTCCTGTTGATGCTGTTTCCTGGGAGGAATGGTGGCACTCAGTGCTGGGCAGAATAAGCCCCAGCCTGTATGATGGGGAGGAGGGGAAGGGGAATCTCTCCAGCCCCTGGCCCTCCCCTTAGGCTCCTTGCAAAGTGCTACAGGGCCCAGAGGAAGAAAGGGGCTTTCTCAGACTCCCCACAGTCTCTCCTCACAGCCTGGAGTGAGGCCAGAGGCTTTGGGCTGGGAGGTAGTGGGGCTAGCACACCCCTGCTCCTGGTCCCCACCTGAGGGTTGGAAGAAGAGGGAATTTCCCTGAGGATCTGGGATCCCCCTCAGGAAGCAAGAGCCTCCAGCCCCAAGGGCCCCCTGCAGCTGCTGGGAAAGGCGGTGGGAGAGGAGGGGTGCAGGAAGGAGGGAATTCCCCTGGGGTCTGACCGGGTGGGCGGTGGAAGACAGAACAGCAGAAGAGGAGGCAGAACTGTTGTCCTGATTGCCTGGTTGAGAAGCTGTGCCACCCACCCACCGGCTTCGAGCCTCAGCCTTTGCCTCTGTTCAATGGGAGTTGGTTTGCAAAGCCTCTGAGATTCTCCCAGGCCAAGGTCTGCGTGGGGAGGAGGGCAGTGGGGCCGGCCGCGGGCGTCACCCTCCCCTGTGCCTCCCTCTGCAGGCGGTGATGGAGAACATGCGGCGGAAGTGCAAGTGCCACGGCACGTCAGGCAGCTGCCAGCTCAAGACTTGCTGGCAGGTGACGCCCGAGTTCCGCGCGGTGGGGGCGCTGCTGCGCAGCCGCTTCCACCGCGCCACGCTCATCCGGCCGCACAACCGCAACAGCGGACAGCTGGAGCCGGGTCCCGCGGGGGCACCCTCGCCCGCCCCGGGCCTTCCGGGGCCACGGCGCCGCGCCAGCCCCGCCGACCTGGTCTACTTCGAGAAGTCGCCGGACTTCTGCGAGCGAGAGCCGCGCCTGGACTCGGCGGGCACTGTGGGCCGCCTGTGCAACAAGAGCAGTGCGGGCCCCGACGGCTGCGGCAGCATGTGCTGTGGCCGCGGCCACAACATCCTTCGGCAGACGCGCAGTGAGCGCTGTAACTGCCGCTTCCACTGGTGCTGCTTCGTGGTGTGCGAGGAGTGCCGCATCACGGAGTGGGTCAGCGTCTGCAAGTGAGCGACAGCTCTCCTCCCTCAGGCTGGCCCTCTGTGGCTGCCGTCTTGGCCGAGCATCACCTTTGGTTCCTGAGAGTGGAGGCTGGACCACAAGATTTTATAGGAACCTCCCAGCTCTGAGGTCATCAAGACTTCAATCTCGGGACAGTTCAGGCTTGCTTGGACCTCCCCCACTCATTTCTGTGGGCTTCAGGACCGATTTCGCTTCCTGGATCTCTGCCCCAAGCTCAGATAGCTCCGTTGGGCTGGGGGTTGCCCCACACTTTAGGGCAGTGTCAGCCAGGCATGCTCTGGGCTTGCCTCCTTTTATCTCCTCACCCCTTCCGCTGGAGTGGGAGGAAACCAATGGAAGCTGGTGGGTAGGGGGAGGAGGAGTGCAAAGAAGAAATGGACATCACTGAGCTGAAGTGTTTCTGCAGAGGCCTCAGAGGTTCTCCTCCACAAGCCCCTGCCCCTCCTCGTTCATTTAACAAATATTTATTTTGCACTCTTTGTGGCCTGGCACTCTGTGAGGATGAGAGGTGCTGGGGATACAGATGTGAATAAGAGACACAGCACCTACCCTCTTGGAGTTTACATTCTGGCTGGGGAAGATGGGCAATAAACAAGAAAATGCACAAGCAAGGGCATTTCAGACAATGCTGTGTGATGTGAAGAAAATAAAGCAAGGTGCTAGATGTAGAGTGATTTGTGGGGAGTGGGGCCCCTTTAGATAAAGCTGCTGATCGGAGAGAACTGCATGCTGAGACCTCATGATGAGGAGAACTGTGCTAAAATATTTGTGTAAAATGTGTATGCTAAGTCGTTTCAGTTGTGTCTGACTCTTTGCGAGTCCATGGGCTATATGTAGCCTGCCAGGCTCCTCTCCATGGGGATTCTCCAGGCAAGAATACTGGTGTGGGTTACCATGCCCTCCTCCAGGGGATCTTCCCAACCCAGTGATCGAACCCCCGTCTCCCATATTGCAGGCAGATTCTTTATCATCTGAGCCGCCAGGGAAGCCCAAGAATACTGGAGTGGGTAGCCTATCCCTTCTCCAGGGGAACTTCCCAACCCAGGAATCGAACTGGAATCTCCTGCATTGTAGGCAGATTCTTTACCAGCTGAGCTACCAGGGAAGCCAGAGCCATGCACAAATCGAGGGTTAAGGGCTTTCCAGGCAGAGGCCATGTGAATGCAAAGGCTCTGAGGTCAGAAAGATCTCAGAAGGAACAGCAAAGAGACCAGTGTGATTGGAGGGAAGAAATCAAGGGACAGATGTTGGAAAGGAGCAGCCCAGGTGGGGGTAGGGGGATGGGCACATGGTGTGTCCTTCCAGGCCAAGGTAGAGTTGGGTTTTTTTTTTTTTTTTCAGGAGTTGGGATTTTATGTAAGAGAAATGGGGACCTTCAGAGGGTCTTAGGCAGGCAAGTGTCATGGTCTGATTCCCACATAGATTGCTGTCTGGGGAACTGAATGACTGGGGACAAGTTGACAGCTGGGGGCCAGGTAGGAGAGACAACCAGAGATAAGGCCTGGATTAGACGGGAGGTGGTGGGGAAGTTGGCAAGGGGCCGGATCAGGAGCCCTGGAGGCCAGAGCTCTAGCTGTCCACCTTGTGCCTGAGCCCTCTGCCACAAGCCAGGACGAGTGTTGGCCAGCAGCACCCGTCAGCAGAGACAGGAGGCACTCTGAGAGCAGTAATCCTGGGCAAGACCCAGCTCAACCCAGCCAGCCCAGCGCCCCGGGGAGCAGGTGGGGCTAGGAGGTGCGGCCAGGGAGAAGGGTGGCGGGGGAGAGCCAGGAGACTCACTGTCTGGATTCTGGTCTCTCTGAGTCCAGGTAGGGGAGGCGGGGTGTGTAAGTAAGGCTGGGGGTGGGGGACATCCTTTCTGGGCCTCTTGTGCCCCCAGATCCCCAGTTTTGGGCTACCCCTTGGCAGGTCAGTTGGCCTCCCATCTAGACCCTCAGAAGAACACTGCGGAGCTGGCAGCCTAGGTCCAGTGTTGCCCTTTCCTCGGCTCTCAGAGCTGATGTTTTTCTGGAATAGACCCTCAAGGAGGAGGCAGTGGAGAGGGAGGGAGGGTCAGGATCTTGGAGAAAGTGCACTTTGTCAACTTCATCCAGGCCTCCTGCTGCTCACAGTTGAGAGTCCTGCTGCCTGCCTCAGTTTACCCCAGAATGGCACCCTTCTTGATGAAGCAGCCAAGGATGAAGTCTTGTTCCTTTTCCCAGTTGCCATCCTACACACATCTCCATACCTCCCTGGCCCTAACTCATATCTCTCCACCCCTGAGTAGGGGTGAGAAGGAAGGAAGCCCTCCTGGTGATGCACCCCCATAGGCTCACCACCTGGATGAGCTGCCCCCACTCACTTGCCCTCAGTTCCCTTCCCTCCAACTGCCTGCATCCCAGCAGCTCCCAGACATGCCTAAAGCAGCAGGGCCTTCCACATGCTCAGCTCTTCTGCTTCTGGAAAAGACAGGGTTTCTCTCCCCATCCCCCCAAAGACAGCCCCACAGGCAGGCGGGTAAGAGTCCCCCGGCAGGAGGGGTGGGCAGGAGCAGCCAGACACACCTGCCTCATTCCTTTCCTCTTGTTCATTCAGGAGGGAGCTGTGGGGGCTGGGTTACCTGCCTTCCTTCTCCCTGCCATTCAGGGTAGGAGGTAAGGGAGAGGCAATGAAGGCCTGGGGAGGCACTCCCAACCCCTCTAGCCCCCAGCAGTGTCCACTATATCATTAGCTGTGGCTTCAGCCTTCTCTGCCTTCCAGGCTTTAGGAGGACAGAGCTGGGGGAGGAGGACTGGAGAGAGATACAGAATGAGGTTTGGGATAATGAGGTAGGAGTTATAACACTGTAGAGGGTGTACCTCTAGAGCGAGGGGTGAGCCGTGGGGTGGAGCAGGGAACTGGACACCGGGTTGTGGGGGGCATATCCCAGTCAAACCAAGTCAAGTCATGGTGATCTGTTGTTGTTTATTCACTAAGTTTTGTCTGACTCTTTGTGACCCCGTGGACTATAGCCCACCAGGCTCCTCTGTCCATGGGATTTCCCAGGCAAGAATACTGGAGTGGGCTGCCATTTCCACCTCTAGGAAATCTTCCCAACCCAAGAATCGAACCTGTGTCCCCTGCATTGCAGGCAGATTACCTACCGCTGAGCCACCGGGGAAACTCTCAAGGTGATCTGATATATGCTAACTTTACCTTATAAAGGAAGAGAGGGAAAGTTGGAGAAGGAACAAATAGGGTGTTGCCCACTCCCTAACCTCTCTCTGGGTATGAAGCTGACTAGAGTTGAAAGCAAAGCTGGACCCCACATTTGAAAAAGAGTGTGTGGGACTTGGTTGGGACCCTAAAGGGAGATGTGCAGGTGATAAGGGGTGGGAAATGGGTCCCAAGAGGCATTGATTGGACTTATACACAACTGGCTGAAAAGTGAGGCAGAAATCAATGTGCTGATTGGAAACAGGGAAAATAGACTGAACTAAAGCTGGACGGTGAAGGTAAATGTGAGGGAGAACTTGCCAACAGCTTAGAAAGGACCAAGGTTCAGATCTGGACATGAGAACAGAAGGTGAACTAGAGTTCATTCAGATGGGGAGAAAGCCATCCCCACCCCAACACCTTTCACCTTGATGGACACTGGGCCAACTCCTTGCAGGAGCAAAAAGTACCATGGAGCCTGGATGGTCCCAAAGGGAAGAAGGGAGGGACCTAAGAGAGAACGAGGTGGTGGATAGATCAGCAGGCAGTGGTGGGGTTAAGTGTCAGGGAGAGGCGGCCAGACTGGAGTCGGGGATCAGAACCCAGGCATCCTGCTTTTCAGTCGCCCAAGGTTCCTGGGCCAGAGAAAAGAAGGGAGAGGCAAGGTAGAGGCCTCTGCAGCTGTAGGAGGGCCAGGTGGGTGAGAAGCAAGGTCGGGGGCATCCGGGCCCTCCCTTGCCTTCCTCCGCATTAATGCGCCCCTAGCTAGCCCCCGGCAGGGGGCCTTCCACGTTGGAGCTTGGCCAAGCCCTAGCTGAGGCCTCCCTCCTTTGCTCCCCCCCCCCCCCCCCGCCCCTTCTCATGTGGTTGCCGGCAGCTGCCTGCGGTCGCCCCAACCCCTGCGCTCAAGGCTCGGGGACTTTCCAACAGGGGAAAAAATGACTTAATGAGAGTGCGAGCCGGGGGCGGGAGGGACAGGTCCCTGTAATCACCGCTCTGCTGTGGGGCCTGCGCGCCTCCGGGCCCTTCCCCGGCTTCCTGCTGCCAGCGGCCCCCTCGGGCTCCGCTGGGGGAGGGGGACGGGCTGGCTCAAGGGGATCCCTTTTCAAGTTCCAGGCTGTTTGGGGCCCTCCGGCTGCCTCTGCTCCCTAGTATTGTCCTGCGTGGAGGCTGGGACGCCCCATGATCCTCGCTGGATTTCGTCCTTGAAGTTGAGGGGTTGCAGTCTTTCCCAGGAGCTAGGGTCCTCTGCTGATGGATTAGGGGGTGCCGGATCCGGAGCAGCGCCCTTTTGCCACTTCGCGGCTGCGCACTTCCAAACGCCCCCGGTTGCTGTGGCAACCAGGGCAGTTGAGGTGTGTCCGCGGGGCTGGGAGGCTCCCACCGCCGCCCCCCCCCCCCCTTTTCTCGCCGCCCTCCGGGCCAGGCCCGGCCGCTGCGGTGCGCGGGGGTGGGGGTGTGCCGTTACCATGGCAAGGGTGCGCTAGGAGGGCACATTCTTCCCCAGGGTGGGAGCGCCCTGGGGATACGAGAAGGGGGGTGACGGGGGCGGTAGAAAGGGGAGGGGAAAGGGTCAGAACTAGGGAGGAGTCTCGGACAAGACGAACCAGGGCTTTTGGGGTTGGGATGGGGAGTTTGGAATCTGCCCCCCCTCTATACCCTAGCTCTCCGGGGACTTCCCGCTCTTCTCCCCCAAACTCTCACTGGGGTCCAAGCCCCTATCTCCCGTTCCCGGGGAAGGGATCCAACTACCGACCCCGAAGATCTTTTGGCTTCCTCCAGGGTGCGGAGGGGTTCGCCGAGCCAAGTGTCCA